AGACCAGGGGGGTCCGGCGTTTTGGGAACGCCGGAAAAAAAGTCAGTTTTGATTTCGTTCAAAAAATATAATATGTCCGTTTTGACGAAACGACTGTTGTTTCATCCATAGGTATCGAATACACATCAGTAGAAAAATTTAAAAGTTATACACACAAATCCAAACCCAAATAGCAAGTAAGCAAAATATATGCTCATATACAGGATGTAAAAGGAAAAGGTCGCAGTCAGGAATCATCAGTCGATTAATGATGATAACTGCTGATTACCCCTCATTCCACTGGTAATCAGAAGGGATGGTGAAAAAAGACTAGGAGGGTCAAAGGGAGAGAGAGTAAAGATGTGAGAACAATTCCAGAGCTGGAGATAAAAATCAAAGAAGATATAGTCTCAAGGCGAAGTAGCCGATCACAAACAACAAGGTATCCCGTATCCAGACTCTTGATTGTAAAAGAACAATGAAGAATGAACTTAGAGTAACTTCAACACTAACGGAGTCAAGCCAAGCTAGTGAGCAGCGAAGTCCGATATGGCAGAACGTCTGGGAGAAAGCAAGCGGAGGCCCGGTTTGTACTTCATGGGATGCTCAGCACCGCAGGAGGGGTGTGACTCCCCTAAAAGCTTTTTCGCCGTTGCCACTCAACCGGCTCATCAGAGGGGTTATGCACCTGCAAAAAACACATCCACTGCACAGACAGACACAGACGACCCATCCCCAGACAACCATACAAGTAGGGAGATAGAGGACCATGTACCGCTTCTTCCGCCGCGAAATCCTCCTCAGGTTCCGGCGTTATCGGAAGGTCCTCCTCCGCACCGGTTGTGAAGTCCCAGTCCGACATAGCCGAACAGTCACCTTGCCACACAAGCTCCGCTCCGTAGAAAAACTAAAGTCAATTGTATATAGTACAGACTAACAATGTACATGCTATAATTGGTAGAAGTACACGTACATATGAACTCCGAGATGAAAACAACAGAAAAAAAGAAAAGAAAAAACGGCGGGAGAGAAGAGAAAAGAGCACAGTATGGGGTGTCCCGCATGGTTCCCCCTTTTTTCGATGGGATCCGAGCGGCTGAGGTTCGTCATTATCTACTGGAATCTGGTCCTATATTCGTCCAGCTACGCTTATCGGTAAAAACCTGGGTTCTCACTAAAAAACGACCCCGCGGAGATCTTGTTCCAATGACTACCTCCCAAGTGTTGTACAAAGTGGATCCCCCAGGTAAAAATGGGGAGGCTCATGGGGCCAGACCTTGAGTTGGGGAGGGACGGACGGGTGGGTCCGCGGGTAGGCGCATGAAAACAGGATGAGAGAAACAAAAAGTAGAACAAGACAAACAAAAAAACAATTAAAAAAAATCCAAAAAATAAAAAATAAAAAACATTAAAAAAATCAAAAAAATCAAAAAAATCAAAAAAATCAAAAAAATGCAGGTAATACAGATCCGGGAATCTGTTTCAAGACCGCACGGGAAGCAGAATACAGGACCCTTGGTCCTCACGTCCCTTACTGCTTACCTCGAAGGGGGTTCTTCCAGCCGGAAATGTTGATCTCCTCCTGAGTCTGGTTTATACCCTGTATATGAGTGTGTGTGTGTGTGTCTGTGTGTGTGCTGCCGCCGCTGCCGTGCTACGCCG